CACTGCCCCCGGCGAGGTTTTCATCAAGTATAAACATTTCACGTCAGCAAGCCCCAGTTCTGGAAAGGGCTCCGTGTGGATAAAAATCTGTCACTCATAGGGCATCTTACGTGTGAGGGATCTCATCGGGACGGGCTCAGGGCTGCTCGTTTCTGCTGTCTGTCCGTGTGCTCCTGTTGCCCTTTGACACACACTGATCAGTACTTAGCCACACCAATGTTTTTCTCCATGATGGGCTCATTCCCACAGCCTTGTTGAGCACAGTTCACGCTGTGACTCTTAGTACCTGCAAGCTCCAGACTGACAGAGCAAGACCTGCACCAAGCTAAGGAGCTTGGCTGAGATAAGACCTTCCAAGGGTGTCCTTGGGAAGGAGCTCCTCAAATCAGGAGGGTAAACATTGGTTCTGTGGTTCACAAGACTCTTATCCAGATCTGGAGTGCTACCTGAGAGCAAAGACTCTACTTTTTGGTAGGCGAGGGACGCTATAGGTGCGTTTCCTATGTCACGCCACTGGTAGGGATGAGGTGCCTGAGAATTGGATGAATAAAGACTACTCCAGCCCCTGGTTGGGAGCCAGATGGGGAAATGACACCCCCTCGGGGTGACACCTCAAATCTGTTGATGTGAAGGGGTACAAGGTTGAACTGCAGGATCATGTGTCTTTCCATATGGGACCATTTCCTGCCATACCCATGCACTTCATAGGTGGTGGTGAGGGACTCTGGAGAGCCCAGGCTCCTCATGGAGAGGCTAGGGACCTTCGTGAACCTTCTCCACAAGGGAATGTCTAAAACCCTTGCGTGACTCCAGGTCATTTGTACGCTCCATCCTGTTTTTGTGCATCTTCTGTCTCGTCTTTGAGTGCCAGGGCACCCATGTTGCCCTCTCTGCGCGTCCCCAGCTGGGCACACGCCGCCTGCACCCAGGGTTGCCTCCCACCACAGCGCAGCCCTTCTCCACGCACGTGAGGCTGTCAGCTCCTCACCATCAGGTACGATTTGGTTGCCAGCCAGCTGGAGGAAGAAACAATCTGTTCCTTTTCCTTCCCAGCAACAAAACAACTTCCCTTCTCGCATAGCTGTCAGAAACTTGAGCAATGAAGCTGCTAAGTGCAGAGAAGCACTCCCTGGTGCCAGGGCTCGGAGAGCCTCATGCTGCAGAGGCAGGCACAGAAGCAGCAAGGTCGCCTGGCATCTCCAGCAGCACCATCAGAGCCTTGAGAGGACACAGAGCCCTGTGAAATAGGAGCTTGCCCAGTTCTGGGCAAGGGGCTACGAGGATGATCAGGGGCCTGGAACATCTGCCCTATGAGGAGAGGCTGAGGAAGCTGGGCCTGTTCAGCCTGGAGGAGAGAAGGCTGAGAGGGGACCTGAGCAGTGTCTAGAAGTACCTCAAGGGAGGCAGTGAGGAGGATGGTGCTGGTCTCTTTTCACTGGTGGCCACCGACAGAACTAGAGGTCATGGCCACAAACCGAAGCACCAAAAGTTCCACAGGAACTTAAGGAAAAATTTCTTGACAGTGAGGGTGACAGAGCCCTGGAACAGGCTGCCCAGAGAGGTTGCGGTGGCTCCTTCCACGATCTCTGAAGATCTTCAAAACCCCCTTGGACGCAGTCCTGTGCCACGTGCTCTAGGTGACCCTGCGTGTGCAGAGGGGTTGGACTAGATGATCTCTAGAGGTCCCTTCCAACCTTAAGCATTCTATGATTCTATGAGGCCATCTGGGATGATGATGGGCCCTGCTCCGTGTTGTGGCCTGGGTACCTTCTCTGCCTTGCTTTGGCTCTGGCTCCAGCTGCAACCAGCCCCAATGCCAATTTGTGAGCAGAGAAGCCAGTTGCTCACAGGGCGCCTTCACCCACTGATGGAGGTCGGCCTCTATCCTGAGGCAAGGAAGGGCAAAGAACAAGGCAGGGTGAAATGGGAGCGTGCTGCATCCCTGGAGCATCCTGCTTGCCTGGGAACAAGGAAAGTGGGATCTACCTGTGTTTTTTTTTGCATTTCACCACAACCTCTCCTAGGCCAGACCACCTCATGCTCACGTACATGTGGTACATCGGGTTCATGCGTGTTTGAAATGACTTTATCAAAGCAAAACCTCCTAGGATGTCCCCATCAGCATCTTGCACTCTTCATTGGCACATGCTGGGGTTCTCTTCTTTAGGGCTGGTTTTGTTGCCCTCCTTGCTGGCCTGCAAAGCCTGTAGCATCCGTAGTAACTTTGCATCTCATCCCAGACCACATCCAGGCTCTCTTAAAATCATCACTTAGCAGCATGCTGAGAAGATGGCAGAGTGGGATCGCGTCAGCGCTGGAGTGAAACCTCGCCTGCGAATAGATAGCTTTGGCATGTGTTTAATGGGATGGAAAGAGCACTTAAAGTATAGCTGAGAGCATCCACCGCAGCTCTGCACTTCCCTGCCAGTTGGGGAGACACTTTGGAAGCGCTGGCAGCAGGGCAGCGTGTGTGACAAGTGTCCTGCAGCTGCAGGCTCTGTGCTTTCAGCCTCGCCAGCACGCCGGGTTCTTCTTTTTGTTTGGACAACGGGAGGAAAACGCTGGTGAAGCAGCACGGTCCCCCTTGGCTCAGTGAGGGTGCCGAATCACCGTGGCGTCTGCTTTGCAGCAGGAGGGGAAGGCCGCTGCTTGCTGGAGTGAAATGAGGCCAGGGGATGCGGCCGAGGACCGCAGAGGAGGTGGCCCCGACCTGCACCCTCCTCCCGAGCGGCATCGGGGACGCTCGTCCCGGTGGCTCCCTCCCTCTGTGCAGCGTCAGCCTGCGGTCCCCGCGCTCGCCCCGTCGCAGGGGTCTGCGCCGCTTCCCAGCATGGAGCTCCTGAAGAGGTGGCTCTGTCCTAGCGTCACTGCGGGACCTCTTTGTGCCCCTGGGGCTCCCTGCAGCAGGAGGGAGCAGGGCCTGGAGGTGGCAGGAGGGCGGCCCAGCCTGGCATGGGGACCCCCGCGCCCAGAGCCGGCTCCAGCTCTCTAGGAAAATCCGGTTTTACTTTGAGGCACCGTCTGCCCCTCATACTGGTGTGATCTCCAACACCACGGCCAGGAAATCCTTTGCATGGTGATTTCAGAGGCGTTCCGACAGCAAATGGGTCGTGATGTTTCTTGCTGGTCGCAGATTCAGCCAGAGCGCGGTCCCGACAGCCCCTTGTGCAGCAGCACCAGCAGCGATGTCTGCCCAACACGGAGCGCTTGCTCGCACCCAAGAAAGAGCGTGTGGGAAACAGCAGTGCCAGCTGGCAGCGGCGGTTTCAGTCCTGCAGCCTCACTATACAAGGAGTCCCCGGTGCTGCTGGACCCACTATGAGGAACAGCTTTGGGGATTGCCATCCCAGCTTCGTTTTGTGCCGGAGAACGGCCTCGCGGGGCTTTGGGAACGGCTGCGTGCACCAAGCCCAGCTCGCCCGCGTGGGAAAGTTGCAGCACGATGCCCCTGGCACCCTCACAATCCACAGAGGCAGCTTTTTTAATTAACTTTCCTTTGCAGGGCTTGCTTTTTTTTGTATGTAGAGGGAGGCTGCAGTGCACGTTTTAATGGAAGTTGTTGGGAGAATTATTGATTTTGCTAGTAATGTTATTGAAATGGTGCCATTCTGTTAAATCTGTCAGGCCCTCTTTGACGGTGTGGCTGGGAGCATTTCTGCATCCTTCATTAGTTTTTTAATACACAATAATTTCCCTTAACTCATCACTGCGAAGCAGGATTGGCTGCATGCTCGGTAACCATTTTTCCTACATACCAAGCTATTGCAGCAATAATTATGAACAGAACGAATTATTACGGATATTCATTATAAAATACAATTACTCCGAGCTGTGCTCTGTTGCTGCACTTCTCAGAGCCATCGCTCACTTGGAGTAAATGGTTTCATTATAAGCATGAAGGGCAAACTTAATACACTTCTGATTCATAGCAAACAGCACAAGAAATCATCTCTGCTGTTCCTCCGAACTCTTGGTGTTTGCTCCGAACGAGAGAAAATAAAATTTAAAAAGTGGCTGATGTCAAAGACTTGCTAGCTGAGCGGATGGGCCCTGGGTGGCGACGTGAATGTCTGTAAGGAGGCTGGGAGGTGGCAGCGTGACATGAATTTCTCTTCTGCAGACAGTGTGGCTTGTTGTGGGGCCTGTGGGCTTGCGCTTGTGGGAGCTGCACGCACCGGAGCGGCCGTGGGGCGGCTCGGGCTCGCCGGAGGAGCTGGGGATGGAGCGAGAGGTGCTTCCTCGGAGGACGTGTCTTGGACGTGACTTGGTGTCTTTAGGATGAGGCGCTTCCAGGGGAGCCCGTCGTGCAGCAGGAGGATGGCGCCGTGGCCTCCGGCCCTGGAGGACAGGATGGCACCCGGGCACCCCGGTCCCTGCTCAGCGCGGGGCCAGCTCAGCCCCTCGGCTCCTGCCCTTTGCTTTTGGCTGTGCTGCCTCGCCAGCCTGCGCTACCCAATCTGTTCTCTTTCTGCAGCCTTCTCCTGGCCTCTGTTCCCTCCTCCTCTTCCTCCTCCCTGTCTCCCCTCCTCCTTTTTCCCCCCTTACTCTTGAATCTCTATTTCTTCTTCTCTGTTCCAGCAAAACGATATCAATCAAGGTGATAGATGATGAGGAGTATGAGAAAAACAAGACCTTCTACCTAGAGATCGGGGAGCCCCGGCTGGTGGAGATGAGTGAGAAGAAAGGTGGGGGACCTGCTCCGGGGCTGACCCAGCCTGTGTGTCCCTGTGTGGCTCACTCATGCCTGGCACCCGCACCACACAGCCCACATCCCCGCGGCCTACGGAAAGGGCAGGATCGGGGTGCCCTCCGAGCCCTTGTCCGTACGCCGGCGGCGGGAGACGTTGCAGCCGCTTTCCCCCTTGCCCAACCATCTCTGGCACCGAGGCACCTGGGCGGACGCGAAGTGCATGAGCGTGCGATGCCGATCATGTGTTTGCCTTTGTCTTGTGTTCCCACAGGAAATTCATTACCCTTAGAATACTTGACCGTGAGGAGTATGAGAAAGAGTGCAGTTTCTTCCTTGTGCTTGAGGACCCAGTGTGGCTACGAAGAGGAGTGAAAGGTGTGAGAGTAAAACCAGACCAGCTCTCGAGACGCTGCCGTGCGCTTCCTCTGTGTCTCCCTACTCTCACACTCCTTTCTCCTCGCACTTTGGCTCCGGCCGGCGTTGCCCTCCTTCCTTTGAAGCTTAGCCGCTGCCTTTTTCGCTCCTCTTTTCTTTACTCTCGTGTTTTGTGCAGCCCCTCTCTGTCCCCGGAGGGCCCCGGAGTCCCCGGGCAGGGGCCGGCGAGCACCCCCAGCCCCCCAAAAGGCATTTTGGATGCAGCCACGTCTGCCTTCGGCCAAGTGGGAAATGCAGGCTCGGCAGGTCTAAAAAAAAGGGATGCCGCATCATTTTCATCAGAAGAAAAGACAGCCTTAGCTTGAAACAAAACGCATGGCCAAAGCAGTAACTTTAGCTTTTCAAAGCAGTAACTTTAGCTTTTCAAAGCAGTAACTTTAGCCTTTTCTACTGCAGCGAGGGTCTGGAAATAGCTCAGGAGCATGGCACGAGCAGGTAATAGTCTGAGATGCAATCGCTCTTGAAGAAATTGGGTTCTGCTCAGGTAAATTTCCCTGGCCGTGTGTTAGATAATAGCTGCTTGTAGGAATAATAAAAACAATTTCTGCTTTCATCACGGAAAATAGAAATACCTCCACACCAACCGTCCCAAAAAGACAAGGCACGCTCATATTTCCACATCTTTTTTCCTTTTCGTCCTGCGAGGAAATTAAAATTCATGGCAACAGCTAATCTCTGCGCACTAGCAGTGGCTGAGCAAGAGGCAGTTTTACAGTTACTTAAGCTAATGAGTTGCAACACCGCAGACCGTTATTAACGCCGGTGTAAGGAGCGGGTAGCACCGCTTGGGCTTGCCTAGGAGCTGCTTTCTAATTCCTGGGCCGCAAGCTCCCCCTTCAGCAGGCATGGGGTTTTAATGTGCTGTTCCTTCAGGATCCCATGGTGCTGGGCACGGAGAGGCAGCTGCATTTTAGGTGCCAAGTCCCACGGCGATGCCCCGTTCCCCTTTGGAGAGCAGCATCCCGGCAAGCAGCTTGCCTGGTGCTTGATGCGAGTGGCCAGGCTTGGCTCGTGGAAGCAGGACGCGGAGGTCGGATGCGCTGGCGCGGGCCGTTTGCAGCGGGAGGGAGCAGTGTTGCTTGGTGGTGCTCGGGACGTCCATGGGCACCATATGTGTCACCAGGCTGCTGACTCAAGGTTATTGAGGAAGCCTCAGGGAAGTTCAGCTCTAAAAACTCCCTAGCTCCAAGTTTAGGAGGATATATACACCAGAGGGCTGTGCTGCCATTTGGAGGGAGCTGGGCAGGCTGGAGAGATGGGCAGACAGGGAGCTCATGAAGTTCAGCAAAGGCAAGCACAGTGTCTTGCACCTAGGAAAGAATAACCCCTTGCACCAAGACAAGCATAGGTTGGCCTGCTGGAGAGCAGCTCAGCAGAGGAGGATCTGGGGTCCTGGTGGGCGAGAAGTTTAGCACGAGTCAGCAACGTGTCCTGGTGGCCTAGGAGGCCAGTGATGTCCTGGGTGCATCAGGAAGGGTGTTGCTAGCAGGCTGGGGAAGGAGATCCTCCCCCTGCACTCAGCCCTGTTAAGGCCACATCTTGAGTGCTGTATCTGGTTCTGGACTCCCTGGTGCAGGAGAGACATGGAGCTGCTGGAACTGGTGCAGCAGAGGGCTGCTAGGATGATGAAGGGACTCGGACATCCCTCCTAGGAGGAAAGGCTGAGGAAGCTGGGCCTGTCTAGCCTCAACAAGGGAAGGCTGTGGCGGGGCCTTATCAATGCGTGTGAGCATTCGAAGGGAGGGTGTCAAGAGGATGGGGCAAGGCTCTTTTCAGTGGTGGCCAGCAATATGACAAGAGGCAGCAGGCACAAACTGAAACACAGGAAGCTCCATCTGAAAATGGGGAAAAAAAACTTCTTGTCTAGGAGGATGAGTGCTGGACCATGTTGCCCAGAGAGACTGGGGAGCCTCCATCCTTGGAGATCATCACCAGCCATGAGGGCAGTGCCCTAGGCAATGTGCTCCAGGCATCCCTGCTTGTGCAGGGGGGTTGAACCAAATGATTCCCAAAGGCCCCTTCCAACCTGAACCCTTCCATGATTCTGAGATGCCGTTTACTGCTTTGGCCATCCGATGACTCGTCCTTTTTTGAACTCATGCTTTTCCATGAGGTAAAACCCCAGGCCCTGGAGCCTGGCGACATCTCTGAGATATGTGTCCCAGGTAGCCGCCAAGGAAGAGCCTTTTTGTCTTGTTTTTGGAGACTTGGCATGGTTTGTGGAGTGAGAAGCTCTCTGAGCCAAACTCCTTTGCCACACACGTCTCCTCTCCAGTTTTCCCTGTCGAAGCGCGGCTTGCTCTCCGCGCGGGCAGCCGGAGGAGGCCAAAGCCAGTAGCCACCGCATATGGGATATATTTGTCCTTCTGGGGCAGAACTGCCACCAAGACCAATGGAAGATCTTGCACATCCAATTCCAAGGGGATAAATGAATTTTTGGGAGTGTGCCTTTTAATCCCATGTTTGCAGTGGTTCTTTTTTTGTTTATTACCATCGTCATCATTATTTTAAATCTGCAGCCCCATGAAACGTCTCCGTTCTTTCATTTTTAGTGCACATCTCTCTCAACACTAACGGCATCCTGCAGCTTTTACAGATCCAAAGCCTCTGGCGGGGGATGCGGAGCCTTTCTGTGGATGTGCCCATTTTTTTTTTTTGTATCATTTCGTTGTATCATTTACTTTCTCTTCTTCTGTGTTTGTCTCTGTCTGTCTCCTCCGCAGCCCTGTTGTTGAATGAGCTTGGTAAGCGCGCATCCATCTCTCTGCCCTATTTCTCCCGCCTGTCCCTCGGGAGCTGCCTGGAAAGCGGTTCCTGGCTCGGGAGCCCCTGCCGAGGGGCCGGACCGTGCACGCGAGGCGACCCACCGGGTCAAAAGATGGAGAAAAACACACAAAAAACGGGAACGCTGGGGTGGATTTGGGGGTACTCCCATCTCGGGGAGCCACGCGGCCTCCGGATTTGCTCATGGGCCGGACTGGGGCCGGCGTCCCCGCTCCTGCCCTGGCAGGGGACACCGGGGGACGCCGGCCCCGAGGGCGGCGTGGCCAGGGCGGTGGGGCCGCCGACGCTGAATAACCCTGTCTCTCCTTCTCTCCTTCCTGCTGCTTCTCTTTGGGGTGTTTTTGGGGGGGCTCGCTCAAGGCGGCTTCACCATCACAGGTACGGATTTCCGCGCTTTCCCCCTCGTTCCTTGCCCCCGTCCCCGCTGTCCCCCGTCCCGCGGCGCTCGCGGCCCCGCGCTCACGCCGCTCTCTCTCCTCTCGCTCTCCTCCTCGCCCGGTGCCCGCAGGGAAGC